GTATTTTCAAACACTCCTGGTTGGCTAGCTTTACTCACCAGCTCTAGTATTTGTAAACCACTTCTGGTTCACCAAGTATTCTCGACCACTCCTGGTCCGTTGGCTTCACTCACCAATGCTAGTATTCTTAAACCACTTATGGTTCCCCAAGTATTGTCGACCACTCTTGACCCTTGGGCTTCACTCACCAACGCTAGTATTCTCTTATTAGCCACTTTTAGCTAGTAGTGAGTATTCTTGTAGTATTATTTGACAAGGAAGTATTTTTTCCTTAGCCTTTTTAGGCTTTAGTCATATTTCTTTCCCTAAGTACACGTTCCTAAGTTACACTTAGAACTACTTAGTCTACAGAAAGAAATACACTAAAGTACATTTTTTTTTTGTTTCTTGGGCTTGATCTCCCTTTAATCACTTACAATCAAGTCATAGCCCAAGGCAATGCCAAACCTTTTCAGTTCGTGGTTGTTGCATATTTATAGGCTTATAAGATTTTCCCGTTGCATATATCCGTTGAAGCTGATATAGTCGTTCATGACTAGTTTGTTCTTCTCATTTAATGCTCAGATTCTTGAATTAAATGTTGCTTCCTGTTTATAGATAATGTGTGAATTCTTCTTGCCTTGTTAGTAGCTGTGTCTGAATATAGCAGAGACCTAGGAACCTTTTTGTCCTTTCCTGGTCACGGAGCTTGTAGAATGTTGTCCTTAGCTGAAAAAGTGATGTACTTTTTCTAACACATGCAAGCTTTTACTTTTGCCATTGACTTTCTTGTTCTTTTCTTCTTCTATTTTTGTGCATTCAATTGAGAGCCTTTTGTGTGGTTGTAGACGATGTCTTGATTTGTCTTTTGAGACTTGATTCTTCATACTCTTTCATGGTAGTCTTCGTCTGCGTCTGGCAGTCCTTATGCATCTCAATTCTTGTCTTTTTGTTCTTTGACCAGTCTTCGTCTAAGTCTTTTTGACTTCTGTTTGAATTCTTTACCTTGACTCGTATTTGTTCGATGCTTGAGGCTTTGTTTCGGTTTGTTTATATGAAGCTTCCGACTGTCGTCTTATGTTGTCTAATGCATATGCTTGTTTTGTCAGATCCTTGTTTTGCTTGACCTTGCTTCATATTTTAGCTTGTCCTGCTCTTATACATACACTCTTTCTTAGCAATAACAACATGTATTATATTTGTCTCATTCAAAATCTTGCTGGGAATTGTTTTGTCTTCGTTTGACTCAACAAGCTAACCAAAAACTTAGATGACTTCACGCAATATCTATAAATAGGAAACAACATTTAATGCAAAATTTAGTGCATTAAATGAGAGATTGAACTAGTCATGAACGACTACATTCTGCTTCAACGGACACTTGCAACGAGCAGATTTTACATAGACTATAAATATGTCATGACTCCAAACCTGGAAAGGTTGGCAAAAAGTGATTCCAAGTCCAAGAAGCAATGAAACCAGAGACAGAGCATATATAGTTAAATGTACAATATTGTATTTATCTCTGTAGACTAAGGAGTTCTAAGTGTAACTTTGGAACAAAAACCTTAGTGAGTGTGGTAAATCTTTGTATCCTCTCTGTGAGAGTAAACCACACACTCAAAACAAATCATCTATCATTTGTAAAGCCTGAAGAGGCTAGGGTAAGAATACTTGTATAAGCCTGAAGAGGCTTGTCAAAGAATCCTCTATAAGAGCCTAAAGTGGCTGAATAAAGAATACTAGCACTAATGAGTGAAGTTAGCAGGCCAGGTGTGGCCGCTGATCCTCATTGAGAGCCTAAAGTGGCTGAATAAAGAATACTAGCACTAATGAGTGAAGTTAGCAGGCCAGGAGTGGCCGATGATCCTCATTGAGAGCCTAAAGTGGCTGAACAAAGAATATTAGTGTCAATGAGTAAAGTTGGCAAACTAGGAGTGGTTGATAATACTCGGGAACCAGGAGTGGTTGAGAATACTCACTGAGAGCCTAAAGAGGATGAACAAAGAATACTAGCCCCAATGAGTTAAGTTGGCAAACCAGGAGTGTTGATAATACTCGGGAACCAGGAGTGGTTGAGAATACTCATTGAGAGCCCGAAGAGGCTGAACAAAGAATATTAGCGCTGACGAGTGAAGTTGGCGGGGCAGAAGTGGTCGACAATAGTCAGCAAACTAGAAGTGGTGATAATACTTGTACTTGATTGAAAATATAATGGAACCGTTCAATTGAAGGAGACTGGATGTAGCTTAGTCTGAGCGAACTAGTATAAAAATCTTTGCACTGTTTTTCTCTTCTCATACACAAATTTATTTATTTGATATTTCATATTGAAAATCTTACTCATTGCTTATTTCACACTACAACAGCTTTCAGAAGGAAAACATCTCTTGTTTAACTTATTACTATAAGAAACACTCTCGTGCAGACGATAAAACTTGCAGACGTAAAAAAAATTTAAATGTTATATTAAAAGTAAACGAGAGATGCATATTGAATTAGAAAACGTTAGTATGAAACATGAAAAAGCCTTTTATGCGAAGAGATTTCCTTAAAGCTTCACACACATATTCAACCCATGTGTTTTTCCTCTAACTTCAAGATCAGTACCTGCAAAAAAGACTCCAAAGTCTAAGTTAGTTACCCTTTCTTGCTAAATAGTCCCCATGAAAAATGCATCCTATTTCTCATGTATATCCTATCCGCTCTTCTCCTTTTGTTGATTGATCGTCTTGTCCCCTTTACCGAGGTTGGCAAGTCCAACCTTGGAGATTGGCGGGTCCGACCTAGTAAGTGGGTTGGCATTAAATCTAGTCTGACCTCCTAGGTTGGTTAGTCCAACCTTATAGATTGGCCAGTACACAATGTCGCAACCCGCAAATTTCTGATCTTGCGACCTATAGTTTAGACATCCTTTTGAAAGATCTCATTAATTAGGAAATGCCTGGACACCAGACTAATCCCTAATTAATGGTTTTGAAAATAGGTTCTTGGAGTCACCACCAATGTTTTACTCAAAACATTGGAAAAAGAAAAGGTTTTTAAAAAAATTCAATAATGGCCTTGATAACCAAAATTAGGTTCAGGGGTCGGTTACATGTAGGAAAGGTATTAAGCACCCTTACAGTGCCCTCAATCGGTACCCTATGATGAAGTTAATGTGATAAGAAAAAATAAATTAAATATTAGATCCCCTTTATGAATTACTACTCACATGCTTGAAATTTAAATTACACGATTGATCCTAAAACGTCTACATGATTGCTTTTGTTATAACAATGTATATTAAAAATAAGAAATAAAATAGAGAGAAGAAGATTAAATGAAATACCTCGTGGCAAGCTTTGTTAGATCTTCAAATATGGAAAATCTAGGTGCTTCGTGGCAACCTTTCACACTACAATTTCCTCACAATACTCAAGAAATACAATAGGAGAGAGAGAGATAAATTTCGAGCTCTAAAGAGTCCTGGACAAAATTTTTGGGGGCCTGAGAACTATGCCCAAGCTGTCTATTTATAGGAATTAGAATGGGGGCCAGAACGGCCCGTTCCGGATTCGAAACGGCCCATCCTAGATCCAAATGTTGTGTTAATTTTGCATATTGGAACAGCCCGCTCTGAAACCGGAACGACCCGTTCTAGAGGTGCATTTAACACATAATTGCAATGCTGGAACGGCCCGTTCCAAATTAAGATTTGAGGCCTTTTTTGTCACTTGGAACGGCCCGTTCCAGTTTGGAAACGACCCATTCCACTACTACAGGATGTATTATCTACATCGGTTCTGGAAGGTAATCTACATCGGTTATAAAACTGATGTAGAATAGAGCGACTTAGAAAAACAAACACTTCTACATTGGTTGTCAGAAAAATCGATGTAGATTTGCGTAAAAATCTACATCGGTTGTAAGTAAAATCGATGTAGATTTTACCACTATTCTACATCAGTTATACCAACAACCGATGTAGATGTGTTCACAAATCTACATCGGTTCTGCTGGAAACCGATGTAGACTGAATTATAAAAAAAACTTCATTTATTTTTTTAGATTCTTTCTGGGTTACCTGTATAAATAAATAAATAAATAAATATATATATATATATATATATATATATATATATAAGCATGTGTAATGGCCTTCTTACTCCTTTCCATGTATATATAAAGGGAAAAAGAAATATAGGAATATAGGATAAGCTAAGAGAAATAAAGGAATATAGGATAAGCTCCTTATACACAATTTTCAAAAGAAAATTTAATAAAATGATTAATGCTCTCAACACACATGTTGTTATCAGTTATTGTGTATATTATGAAGATATTAAGCAGCATGTGTATCATAAAAGGATGAAAATAATGCAACGACCATAATTCCTGATTTAGTTTCAGTCAGATAAATTGGGACAGAAAACATAATAACTGCATTAACCAATCCAAAGTTTGACCACAGATGTTCTGGCAAAGAACTTGCTAGGCAAGGAGTTAGACAGGACAAGAAAAGAGAAAGGTTTAACACTCACATCCAATGAGCAAGTTATTTTATTGTCAATAGGAAGTATTAATTTTATATTATTCACTTGATTGAGTAGCCTAATGCCTAACTGGCTCCATTATATATGAATAAAATCCTTTATGATATGAATGCATTACAAAAGCAAGTAGTTGTGGGCTTGTGGCACAGTTGTCATATAATTGAACTTACTATCAAACTTAGAAGGACCCACATATCCGAGGCTAAGTGACCATAATTTAATTACTGTGCAAATGGTAAATAAGTTAAGTCTCATAATTTAGTTAGTATGCCTTTGTTTCTTAAACAATCCAGATAATAGGCATCATGTTATAAGTATCAAAAGTTCTAAACAAAATTATCAAACAAAATTTTATTATCAAACAATTCTTAACCTTGCACATAATGATTTTCATATCTGAAAAATACCATTATGGTGAATCCTTAATATATCATCAACATTGGAAGAAGGTCAACATTGGAAGAAGGTCAACTTGCTTCTCCTGAATAAAGAAATGATGTCCAAATTATATTTATCAAATAAACACCTGGGTTGCGTACTATCAGCACGTCAAAAACATTACATAACTGAATATATCATCAATCATTGACAAACAAATTGTATTCAATCAAGGGCATTATTTTATAAACTGAAACTTGACAGAATCTAACTTCCTTTCACTCCCCAACTTTGATTTAAACGGATGCTACCTAGGAGTAGACCACCTCGAAACCAACATAAAATTGCTATTAACACCATGTTCTTAACTTCAAGTAGTTCAAAACCGTTGACCAGCTGTGGCAAAAACTCAAGCTGTTAGTAGGAAGTTAAGGAGTGATTTCGCCATTTCCTGTATAAATCTTTAAAAACAAGAAATAATGAATTTTTTTAGTCAAAAGAAATAGTAACAAAAAAATTCCCTTGTACCAAACATGCCCTTAAATTAGCAGATAGATCATAAACTCAGTCATGATTATATAAATCTGAGGTTACAAAAGTAAAAGTAAACAAATTTAATTTGTGCCATTAATTATATTAAACAACCATTAAGAGACAAAAATAAATTGAATAATATAAAAAAAATACCAATATCATGAAAGTAGCAATGCCAAGATTCTCTCTACGAAGTAACTCAACACATGCTTGAGCTGCATTTGTTGTTTCCACCATAATATAATCAAGTCTAGGACATGCTGTTGATATTGCAACATCATACTTTGCTGCAATGATTTATAAGAAGTTAATCTAACAGATTCTTTGAATGATAAGGATGAATTTAACAGTATTAATCTAATGTAAATTATGTAATATCATACTAAGAGCAAAACAATGGTACCAAGAAAAATTGGATTGTGTTAACTAATAATAATAAACTCAGAAGAAACCAGAGATCCTTTTTTTTTCCATGAAGTACCAAGTTTTCCATTAACTGTAATTCTTGCTTGATAGTTATAATCATGACCATCAAGAAATATAAACTTAGACCCAAGACTAGAAAGAGTGATGCTGGAAGCATTAAACACATAATGCATGGTACCCATTTTCCTATTATGCGAAAGTGGGGGGCGTCGTCGGTGGCGGTAGGTGTTAGGGTTAGGGTAGGAGTGGAGGTGGACGGGGGTGGTGTCGATGGCGCCGCACATGTTGGGGAGGGAGTTCCTCGAAGGCCTGGGTGGTTTCTAGGAGGCGGCACCGCCCCACCGGGATCTTAATGAACTCCGGGTAGAGCTTGGTGGCGAGGAGGCGCGTGACCATGTTGGTGATTTTGGAGACGAGGTAGGGTTCAAGGGAATAGCGAGAGGCTAGGGTTTTGGCGGAGAGGCCGTGGGCGAGGCACGAGAGGTCCATGGCGACGACGTAGTCAGAGGGGAGGGAGAGGTTGGAGAGGGCGATGGCGACTGCGGCCGTGTTTGTTGCGGCCTCCATTCCTGCGCTTGAATGTCTGCAAAGCAGAAGATGGAACGGTGAGAAGAGGAAGAAAAAGGTTAGGGAATAAAGGAATTGGAGAACAACAAGAGATCTTCTCCAACCATGGTGGGTGGGTAGCCAAAACTTGCACGCTCTTCTCTAGGGTTTTGAGTGTTGCGGCTGCTAAGTGAAATAGATTGGCAACAGCAGAGTGTTTTGTCGAGAGGGTGAAGGGGTTGCGAAAATTTGGCTTCAATTTTACATCGGTTAAATGCAAAACCCGATGTAGAATAATATTGTCATTTGATTTTTACATCGGTCAAAAATAGACCCGATGTAGAATGGTTTACATCTTCAATTTATTTACAAAACTGCCACCGTGTTTCTTATTTACATCGTTTGTAGAGGAACCGATGTAGAGTAATGATGTAAAACAGTAATTTTGTAGTAGTGTTCCAAATGTAGGTTTTAGCCTTTTTTTAAGAGCTTGGAACGGTCCGTTCCAATTTTGGAACGGCCCGTTCTAAACTAGAGGTTTAGGCCCTTTTTGTAAATTGGAACGGGCCGTTCCAGTTTTGGAACAGCCCGTACCGGGCTACTAAAGTAAACTTATTTGGGCTTTAAGCTTTCTGATGTCATGTCCTGTTGTTTCCATGCTTCGGGAGCTCCTTTCCTTGATAATGGAAGTCCATTTCCTTGTTTGTATGCCCCCCGGACGAAATTGGGTGTCTACACACATAATAATAAAGATTAGATAAATTATAAATTAAAGAAAGAGAAGAAATCAAGAAAAACAAAATACAAGAAAGCAAAAAGAGCATCAACCTTCAAGAATCTAATGTGTATACATTTTTATTGAAAAATATTGCTTGTACAACAATCCTTTTTATGACTAATTTGAACGGTGTAATAAATATAAAAGTTACATATGTGTAATTTGAACCCTTTTCCATATATATATATATATATATATATATAAGGAGGGATCTATTTATTTCAATAAATTTTGGTAGACTTACTCTATTTAATAACTTATATTCTACATCAAATTTTAATAATCCAACCGTTAATTTAAATATTCTTAATATTTAGATCAAGTCTACAAATTTTTAAAAAATTTGAAAACTATTCGATATTTCGTTTTATTAATTCAAATAAACATATACAATATTTTTATGATTATTGGTCAAACTGAATTAATGAAACGAAGTATCAAATAATTTTCAAATGTTTTAAAATTTTGCATACTTGATCTATGTATTAAGAAGTTTAAATTTAATAGTTGGACCATTGAAATTTGATGTAGAACATGAGGTATTGAGTGGAGTAAGTTTGGGTAGACTTACTCTTAGAGTAAAAGAATCTCTTCTCATATAAAAATATATATTTTAGTTAAAATAAAAAAGTATTTATCAAAATTCACCTGTAGTTTGGCTCATCTTTGAGTGAATGCATATTAATATATTTACTTATTTAAATGGAGTAACTTATTTTTTTTTTGAAGAATTTCAAATATCTTGAGATGAGATGTTTTATTTGGATGAAGAATTTACAAAGAATTTAAAATTCAAATTTATGAAATTCCTTAAAACAATATAATTTTAAATTCTCTCCAAAATGTAAGAATTTAAAATTTCTCATATTTTTCTTTCTTATCTCATCTATATATCTTTTATCTCTCTCCTACCTCTTAATTATTAAATATTCAAAAATATTTTAAATTATTCTATATTATCTAATATTGATTTTTTAAAACTATTAAATATTTTTTTAAAAAAAATTGGATAATATTTAATTTTTATAAAATTTAATCTTAAAATCTCAATATATATATATATAACCAATTTTACCAATAGTAAAAATCAAATATCATATTCAAAATAAAAATTTAAAATTTAAAAAATTGGAATTAATTTATCCAAACAAAATATTTAAAAATAATAATAATAATTAAAATCAAAGTAATTTAAATTTAACAAATTTAAATTTATTAAATTTCAAAAAAAAAATTGTCCTTACACACCATAAAAGTACGTACATAGCGGTTGAAGAATTCTCGCCACGCCTTAAAAGCATCGCAGGATTAATGATTCTTGTTGAAGGACTCTAACATCCTATATATTGTACTGTACATGTTAAAAAACAATGTGCCATCATTGCATAAGACGATTAGTTTAATTTTTATTTTACGCTTTTTGTGATTTTCTACTCTATTTTATTTGATGTTCGCATTATTCTATTTTTCCTTTGTGCTTCTGTTAATAGTGGGGGAGCAATATCCTTCATGAACTATTTGTGTTAACTTAATATACTCTATTTGGTTATCTAATAGGACTCACACAATGAAAGTCACTTATTAAATAATAAAAATGCAAGCTTAATTGAATATAGCACATAGATGTTACAAATTAATAGTTAAATATTCTTAAACAATCCAAATAAAATGATAAAACTGAAAACAATTTTCTTTTTTATTACTTTTAGAATTTAGAGCCACGATTAGAAGCCCAAACATTCCTTCCAAATTTCATCTCTAAGATTTTCTCCCATGCTTTCTCATCCGAATTATAGCCACCTTGTCAAACATCTTTTGCTCCACCACTTCATGTATTACCAGCTTTTATACAACATGTGTCCCTACACTTATTGAAATAAACTTGTCAAATATATTATTTTTGACTCAATTAATCAAAAGGTTCCCAACTCATTTCATTCTCCAATTTCATGAGCAATCCATTACAATGACTAGTGTTTTTTTTTTTTTTTGGGAAACATCTTTTAATAAACAAATATTTTTTTTTTACATTTAAGGTTATGTACAAGAATTAAGAAAATGATTAATATTTTAGTTTTTCAAAGTATTTATTAGTTGTTTTCCTATTATACGCTTTAGGTGGTTGGAGAAGAAATAGGTACATTAGAAAATGAATAAACACATTGTTCAATAAACACACATTAATTATCAGGAGTAAAAATGAAAAAGAAATTTAATAAGTTATCAATTTTAGAAAAGTAACAATAAAAAAAGAACAAAAAAATAATGTCAAAACGAATATGAATAAAAAATAGAGGGAGTATAATACTATCATATTCTATGTTTCTAATTTTTGCAACAAATATTAGATTTTACATACCTGGATTGTTGTGCATATATGATATGGTCTTGTTCAAATTTCCAAGCCAAAGTTTCTTAGTAAATGTTATATGTACTGATCTCAGTAGTGGTGTGTTGAGATTACCCCTTGAAAATGTTTCCATACATGGAATACTTCTTACCCTCACCATTTGTAAGTTAGGCCAATTGAAAGTTCCATTTTGCTGACAAAAGTTGACTAACTTTGGAAGATCTTTGAGGACAAGACATTCCATTAAAGGGAAACTGATGAAAACATTTTCATATTTTTCATTGGATATTACCTCTTCAATTTTCTCACAATTGTGTAATTTGAGTAATTTAAGTTTCCCAAGACTTTTGACAGAAGAAAGTGAGAATAAACTTTTGAGGATACCACAGTGGGCAATGTAAATAGACACCAAATTGGAAAAAAATGGAACTTGAGGTTCCTTGTTCCATAAACATGTCAATTTGCTTAAGCTACTCAATGTTAATGCCTTGAGTTGAGGAAGTATTTCCTGGATATTATAATCTGGTTTGTCATCTTCGAGGTTAAATACTTCGATCAATAACTCACATTTGTCTAAAGTCAATTTTTTTAGGTTTTTGAATCTTATGATCATGCTAGAAGAGATGGAACTCAACAATTTGTTATTGCTCAATGTCAAAATTTCCAATTTACAAAATGATTTGGGAGGACAATTATAGTGCCAAAGCTCTTGTAGATCCTTGTTTATGATACAAATTTCCTTTAATCTATCCAATAACAACTGAAAGGAACAAATGAAAAATTTCAATGCTTAGGAACAAATATGCATACAAAACTTAAAAGTATGAACTACAATATATAACTAAACTAACAAAAGTTGACAATATTGCACAAAATCAATTTTCATACTTCCATTCCATCATTTATACAAATAATAAATGTAAATAATTTATATAGGGGATTTATCTAGTAAGGAGGTCTTTTTTTCAAGAATGAGAAAAGTAAATCTAAGTCATGTAATCATATCAAGATAATCAATTTGATCACTTAAAAGCATCAACTAACTTTTGAAATACACATGACTTATTTGTTTGTTTTAATCTTAACTATTAATGATGAGATTTAATGATTAAAATTCCTTTTTACTTTCACATTATAAAAGTTGTTTTCATTATACATATTTCCTATATATTGTATAAACACATGATAATGAATATTATCAATAATTTTAAACTGAAACTTACTGAATTTGGAAAGAAATAGTTTGAAGCCCTGGATTTTGGAAGATCTTTCGGCTCATTGGACTGTCCAATAAATGTCATTAGAGTGGGACAATTTGTTATTTTCAATGTTTCTAGGGATGGAAATTCTGATGTAAAAGGAAAGACAATAGAGAGGTTTATTAGGTTTTCAAGGAAAACAAACTTCAATTGAGAAAATATGGCTTTACTTATAGTTTTCTCTTCTTTGTCAAATATCATAACTTTTTCCAACGCCTCACAATCAGAAATTTCCAAACTTTTTAGCATTAGAGACATTGGTAACCAATTAATAGACTCACATTGCCTCACTTGTAGGATTTGCATGTTTTGACAAAACTTGACATCTTCCTTGTTGATGATGTGAGTTAATTTAGGTATATTAGTCAAAATCAATTCATCAAGTTGTTGCAGGACCTCTGTATTGGAATAAGTTATTTCTCCATGAATGTTGAATACCATTTTCAATGTGTTACAATGTCTCACAACTAGTTTCTTCAAATTTCTCAACTCTTGTAATGTCTTAAAGGAGAAAACAGAAACCAACTTATCACAACTATCTATCATGATTTCATTCAACTCAGTGAAAGACTCCCTTTTAGTTGAGAATAATGCATCTATATTTGCAAACTTGGTTGTGAATTCTTCCAACATAGGACATTTTTCTATCATTAAAGTTTTCAACTTTGGAAATTCTACATGATGGGAGTAAAACCCTATCAATCTTGTGAGGGACTTTAACTCCACCCTGCTCAATGTAGGGAACTCAACTGTTTTTATGTCTCCATTATCAATAATGGTCTCTAACATTTCACACTCTTCTAACTTTAATTCATTAAGTTGGTGAAGCTTCCTAGTTGCAGAAGGAGTGAACAAATATTTCAGAGAGGAGCAACTTTTGATGTGCATTATTTGAAGATTTTCGAGAACAAAAATTCCTGTTGGATCCTTATTCCATATGCATGCCAGCTGATGTAGTTCTGTTAATGACAACCTCTTTATCATTGGAAAATATTTACCATGTCCATCCTCATCAGGCATAAGTTCCTCAAGGTCAAACAAATGTTCTAATGTTTTACACTTCTCAATGTCAATAATTTCAAGTTTCTTTGATCTCTTTATCAAAATAGATAGAAACTTATTTATCCCTTCATCACAGCTTTTTGCTGATAACAATTGCAAATTGGTGAAATGTGAAGGTCGAATGTTATCTATTGCCTTGCTTAATTCCTTGCTATCACCAATAATGTAGTCAACAATTGTTGAGAATGGATCCTGTAAGATTGCCATGCTCTTATTACAATCCTTGCTCAACGTATATATATTTTTTTATTCATATCTAGTTTAACTAAAATATAGATATTTATAATATTTTATTTTGACTTAATTACATTTTTTTTACTTTTATTCTGAAATGTGTAATTTTAATCATTTAAGTCTATTTAAGTCATGTCTTTGTATTTTTAACATCAAACAAATTTAGTCTTTATGTCAATGTTCATATTTTCATCTAAATTTAACAGTTTATTATGTTTAGGATATAAAATAATGTTGATAGTCTAGAAAGAAAAATTTGTGCAAGATGAATTAAATTCGAAGGATTTTGCAGATTGTATAAAAAAGAAAAAAATTTGAAGAATGATTACTTTGAGTTATTTATTTATTGAATTTTAGGTTAAATTTGATATTCTAAGGTTGGTAGATTTTGAGTAAAAGGTTAAAAATAATGTTCAATTTATAAACATTTTGATTAAAAAATGGGAATTTGAGAATTTTAAGTAAACTAATAAAGACTAAATTTTCTTAATTTTGAAAACAAAGGGACATACCTAATTCACTAAAACAAAATTAGTTGATCAAAGTTATACATAATTCAAACTAATTAAAGCAACCAAATATATAATTAAGCCTAAATTTGTTTTTTTGGTGTACTTATATAATCAAGTCTAGTTGTATTTTTCACTACTTGAAAAATAGTGTTTTAAAGAGAGGAGAACTAACCAAAAATTCAAAAATATGGGCAATCTTTGTATCAATATTGTCTTCAACTTGAACTTGATCGTCTAAGATGAGTGACTTCAGTTGTGAGCTTTTTATTGTTCCCAAACCGAACTTCTTCAAGTTGGGGCAGTGGTTCACAATCACATGCTCCAAAGATGGCAGTTCGATAGTTTCACCAGATGATAAACTCCTCAAGTTTGGTAAGTCCTCAAAATGTAGTTTATTTGTTTCAGAAAATTTGGTAGGAATTGTGGCTTCTTTGGCTTCTTGAAGTAGTCTAGACGCTACTCGTACCATAGGCAACTCTTCCACACTAATCAAAGGCCACTCATCTTCTTCATCACTATAAAGATCACTATAAAGGCTCTCGTCTCTAGTAAGAAAGCCTTCATCAATAGAAAACAATCATTCAAGACTAGTTAATTACCTTTTAGATCGTGGGGATGTTAAAAATAATATACTCTTTCCTATTATAAAAGACAGTAATTATTTTAATTAATTTTATAAAATAAAATAAAAAATATGGTATGCTAATTTGGTTTATCTAACTTATCATTAAATTATCATAGCAGAGATGAAGATATTATTACCCTATAATGTATATCAAAGTTTAAAATTGATAACCAATAATTGAAGAGTTCAAGAGGTGAAAGTGAACATCTATTTTTCAACTTTTATCATCATTATTGAACAACTAAAAATATATATACTCACAATTTTTATAGAAATTGCAAAATACTTACTAAATTGACCATTTTTTTTCATCTAAATTATGACTTATAACAAAGATAAAAAGAGTATAAAATGCAAAAAAAAAAAAAAATTTAAAATAAAAGAGAGAGAAAAATAAAATACAGCAAAACAAAAAGAGCATTATATATTTTTATTGAGAAACCCTACTCATATAACAATCCTTCTTGATTACTAAAACAGTGATTTCTCATAAGACTCTTCAATCTAGTGGGGCTAGCTACTCATATGTAAGCACACATATTTTTCCATCCCTGGATTTCACAAGTAACACCCATACGCACTCTGCGATCACATTCATGTATCCATAATTTAGGTGCTTCAACGAGTTAAACATTAGAATACCAAAGTGCCACGTTTCTTAAAATATTAAAGTGTCACATTTTCATGCTTATAAATCCATTACATCCAAAAATACATACATATTGAACTATGTGTTCCACATTGAATAAATATCCAAAAACATCAAAAATATGTTTTTTTTATAAATAACCATTAACATATTCAACCATGTTTTTTTTTGTCTCATTACAAAAAATTGTCTTGTTTAGTGTGACACAAATAATATTTATTATTAAAAATTATTTTTATTTATAATTATATTCTTATAGTTATTAAAAAGTGTATGTATAAATTATAGTTACACGTAATATATGTTACTAATCTCATTTAAAATCAATACTAAAATTGTATATATATATATATATATATATACATATATATATATATATATCAAATAGATCGATTTATACCTTATATAGATTATATTTATAGTGACACTTTTTTATGTATTATGATATGTAACATTTATTGTTGTTTATTTAATAAAAACTTTTAATTTAATGGTTAAATAGTCAAAATTTAATATATCATGAGTTATTGAGTAAAATAACTCTATCAAAAATTACTCTTGGTAATATTATCATTTCTATAACTCATTGTCTATATTAAATTTCAACAATTCAACAATTAAATTAAGTTTTAATGAATAGATCAATTCTACAAATATTTACAAAATTTAAAAATTATTTAATATTTCATTACAAAATATTGTAAACTTGATGTATTTATTAAGAATTTTTTAATTTAATGATTAGATCATTAAAATTCAATATAAAATATGAGTTATTGAGTGGAGTAAAAACTTACTCTTATAGTAAGTATACTCCCTATGTGTGTGTGTGGCCTTTATAAAAATTTACTTTTAAGTTTCGCTCTTGAGAGACGAAATGCTAATTAATAGTTGAGGAAATTTAGTGCACTCACTTTAACACTTTCTGTTCAATACAATCTCTATTATTGAGTAAAATTAATTTGAAATTATAAATATTGTGAGTTTAAAATCTCATTTAATAAATCACTTTCTTGATTTAATGGTATCACCCACTACAATTTATAATTTTTAACTAATGTTTTTTTTCGTCCCACAATAATTGTAATTTAAGGTTTTTATACAGATTAATATATACAATCATTTTTTATATAATTTTACTGAAATAATCTCACTCTTTTAATAAATACATTACTTTTAATTGTACTGGTTGAATAATTAATGAAAGGATAAATTAAGAAAAAAACTAACAAATATTATTTTAAAGAGTGAAAACATCAATCATTTTAAGACAATTTTTAAATGTTAAAATTGTAATTAATTTAGAACTTAAAGGGTAATAAAGAAAGTGTTAAAATAAATTAGTGTCGCAAATATTTCTCGTAATAGTTTCAAAAAATTCTAAAAGAACATAGACATTGAAGAATTCTCACCAGGATTTATATACCAACGTCTCCTGTCGCCCCAAGAAGGTGCCATAAGTGTTGAATGGAACTGCAAAAGAATATATCAATGTAGTTTATATATGTCTGAATCTTTACTTCAGATGGAAGAAACTTCATTCTCTTTAAATTTAAACAAAGTTGTAGTTCCTTCCTTCATTAGTCTTTTACCCTATGCAGACAAGAAAATATAAAACAAAAGAAACCATGTGCATCCAGTGTTTTAATAAGGGTCTTATTAACGAGTAGCATAAAAGCATTTATTAAGATATTAGTAAATAGTGTTTATTTAAAATTATGATAAAATTATATTTAAAACTACAACAAAATATTGGTAACACTACTGTTTATAATTTTTTTTATTTTTATTCTTTAATTAATGTCCTTAAATTCATCCCAAAAAGAAATCCTCATTTTTCCATTTTCCATTAATTACTAAAGTGACTTTTATGACAATAATCATTTGTTTGTATTACATTTGTTTTTTGTTTAATTACATTTTTTTATTTTCTTAGTGTATCATTAAATTTTGAATTAATTTGGGGTCCCTTTATTATGTTTTCCTTTTATTCCTACTTTTAATTTTTCGATTTTTATCATTCATAAGTTAATTAATAATCCAATTCTAAATTTTTTCATTGTTTAGTTCAGCACTCATATTTATTTTGGATTGAGTTTTTATGGGAATTTATAAATGACAAACAGATTTTCTGGGAATGCTAGTTTTATATTTTTATATATTAAAAATGTTATTTCTTTTATTTCTTTATTTCTTTCCTTATTTGGTTTCTTAAACATTTAGTTTGTGATTGGATTAAAATCACCCTACAGCTGAAAAAAGAACTGCACCGTCCCGCAGTTGCATCCAACAAATGAAATAATGTTAAATAAATTTTTTATTTTATAATTACATGAAAATCACATTCTTAATGGTACAGATTTCATGCAGTTGTTGTGGATTTTTCCAAATATTTATTTACCAAACTATAGAGTTTTTTTTTTTTTGGGAGGGAGGAGAGGTAAACTGAATTTTATTTTTATTTTTTTGTCATCTCTCATAACTACATTTGGACATATTAAGAATGAGTTATAGATAATAAGATACTAAGATTGGAGCCCAAAAATGCTACCAATGCCAATGGAATGTGATGGTGCATGACAAATACATTTAAAACCATTCTTTCTGATTTTGATTTTTTAAAGTGAATCATCGAGTTGTTAAATGCATTTGCTTACTTTGCAATCTGCAAAGGAATATGATGATGCATGACACCTTGCTTCAAGGCCTGGATTTACAAAAGTTGATTTCATGAAGTAATTTAATCAGTCTTTCTTGGTAGCCTTATAAATAACAAGAAATTATGTCAAGCCAAGCATATGATGTCTTTCTTGATCAGGACTTGGACGTTTTAATAAAATAATTCAATGGATCCGATTACTTTAATTAAAATATTAAATGGATCCGATTGCTTGCTTCTTCACATAAAAAAAAATGAAAAATCTCCTGAAAATAAAACTCTAGTTTTAAGATATTGCTCGTTTTCATTAAAACATAAAAATAGAAACCGACACTGTAGCTTCTTATATTAAGAAGACATAAATATTTTTTTAATGTAAATCTAATATTGTAGTATATACAAATATGTGTTTATTATATAATAAACATTTACAATAAATGATATAAATATATATATATATATATATATATATATTGAATATATAAATTATATTTAAAATTTGTATCAATAAATCTTTTTAGCCATATAAATTATGTTTTAGATATATATATATATATATATATATATATATGATA